CTGTGAGTCATTTTAGCTGGACCAGGAGAATGTGACTGGCTTGCAGGACTTCCTTAAAGAGTGTCTACTTGTGGCTTTCATAGGACTTCATAAGGACAAGAGAGTTTAGACAGATGTGGACAAGTTTAAGGATCTATACTTTCTAGGTTGCTTCCCTGACTGGAGAGCATTATTAGCCCAGCTCTGATTTGCACAGAATGCAGAGATAGCAGAGACTGGTGGCTAGAACAGGCACCACAGACAGGAGGTGGCCTCACATGCACCTTCCTCAGAATTTGGCCTGGAGTGGGCTCTGCCCTGCTATACACTTGCCTCCATCCTCCTTCAGTCCAGCGTGCATCAGAGCCTTCATTGTTTTCCTCAGGCCAAACATGTAGACATTTCAGTAGCCTGAGAGTGCAAAAATGTTTTAGTTCTAATGTTTGGTTGGATTATTTCTGAAAACATTTTGCTGGAGAGGAGAAACCAGATTGTGAAATCGGCTTTTTGCCAGTTAGAACAGAGTTTGTCTTAGATCTTGAACCAGGGCCTTCTTTGCTGATGATTGTAAGGGGTTTGGGTAGCAGAGTGGTCTCTACGTGAAAAAGTTGTGTTGTCTGAGACCTACCCTTATTTTACTTCTAGTTAGCAGTGTGGACTTGAGTAAACCAGTCCTCTTTTCTGTCTCAGAGTCTGTTAGAGTATGTGGTCCCTGAGAAAGAGATCCAGACTCTCTGAGTTTTGAACCTTAGGAGGTAAATAGAGTTAATCCCGTTCCTCCTTTCCTATGAGGGAAATGAATGCAAGAATGGACAAAGGGTGAATTTTTGTTTGTTTGTTTGTTTTGAGACATGGTTTCTCTGTGTAGCCCTGACTGTCCTGTAGATCAGACTGGCCTCAAACTCACAGAGATCTGTCTGTCCTTGCCTCTCAAGTGCTGGAATTTTGAGCTCTAAAGTGGTTGACACTCAGGGCTGTCCATTTTGAGGTGAGAGGAATGCCTTTTATACCTACTATGCCCACCCAACGTCACAGCCACCATTTGTTCCTTGGCAAGGGTGTGACTGGGGGAAAGGTGGCTCTTTGTTAAGAAGAGTAACTCCCAGGGAGGGGAGTCCAGCTACAAATATAGATAACTCGGCTCTGAAAGTAGGTGGAGTGGAACAGCATCTACTACTTTTCCTTGGATTCATTCTCAGTGATGTAATGGAGCCAAGATGCACAAACCTCAGCAGCATATTATATTAAAAATCCATTTGGTGACAAATATTCAGCTACAGTGCTCAGATGGTCTGGGTTGGTTAGGTTTGTGTCTATACCTGTACTCAGCTGACCTCATCTGGGATGCTTTTATCCTCAAGATGAAGGAAGTGACTATAGGATGATCTAGGATGGCCTTGGCTGAAATAGTATCAGGTTGAGTTGCTTGATTTACGCTCAGCAGGCTAGTGTGAACATGTTCTCATGTCCATGGTAGAGTCAAGAATCAACACACATACATAGCTTCCTTCATATCAGCTGTATTAACAATCCACTGGTACACATGAGCTCAGAATCACAAGGCAAGGATAGTTCAAGCCATTCACCATAAGTGATGGAGGGGCTGCAGTTTGGGCAAGGATACAGACAGTATAGAGAGAATAAAGAATTGGGATCATTGAAAAAAGATCTGTTACATTTACCACCTTTCTTTCCTTGCAGCCACTGACTTGTTTTTCAACTTTACCTGTTAGGTATTAATAATCTGATTTTGGTTCTACTTAGAGCTTAGACTCTCAAACTCTACCCAAGCTACTGATCCCTAAACCTAGTACCAACACAGGAACAACTCAGAACTAGTGGTAAATATTTTATTAGATAAATAAAACAAAAAATGAACATATGTACAAGGTCAAGACAGTGAGATGATTCAGCATGCAAAGACACTTGCCACTCAAAGCCTGGTGACCTGAGTTTAATCCCCACAACCCATGGAAAGCTGGAAATAGAGAATAGATTGCACCAACCTGTCCTCTGACTTCCAAATATGCACCACAGTGTAAATACCCACTCATACACATCATGGACACACACACATACAATACTACTACTACTATTAATACCAATACTACTACTACTAATGATGATAATAACAAACTTTAAAAGAGTTCAAGGCCATCTTCAGCTACTGAATGAATCAAAAACAAACCTGAGCTACTTGAATCCCTTTTATTTATAAACATAAATAAAATAATAACAAAACCCCTCAAAATTATCATGGGAAGATAAAACCTACTTGTAAAGCTTAAGAATGCTAAATGCAAAGGACATTTTTATTTTTCATAGTTTTATTAATGTATAATTATGCATAATAATGTATGTTCCAGTTAGTTTAATTAGTGTTTTTTACAGATAAATGGATGAGAGTTTATTTGGAGAAACATGGGAACCTTATCTACATTGAAGAAAATTGTCTCTCCCTTGCCCCTTACCATTAACTATAATAAATCTTGATAGAGCAGCAGCAGAACCCTATAATCCTGTCCCCAATCGGTGACTAGATGTTCATGGGCACCATCTTGGATAGGCAATCATGCTGGCATTTTCTTTTGTCTTAATTGTTTTTAACCAAGAATAGCATCATGCTGCACATTTAATTCTGCAACTTAATTTCTATGGTGAAGAAAATACAGTCAAAACAAACAAAACTACTGCATCAATATAACAAGTTTTAACTAGTATTTATTTTGCCAACAACAACAAACTGTATAATTGAAAAAATAGATATATAGCCTATATAATATGTCCTATCACATACCTTTTCGTTTTTTTCAGACAAGCCTTGGTCCTCATACAGCTCCTTAGGTCCTGGGTCTATGGACCACATCCATGAAACACTGTTGCTACTTTGGAAAAGAAAATAGAATTCTTTCTACTTGTACTTTGTTTTGGAGACATCAAGCTACTTGTTTATGTTTTTTCAAGTAGCCTAATCAAATGAATCAAAGTAACAGTTTAACTGTAATTGTCCCATTACTAAGAAGATAATGGATATTATGTTCAGTTTTAATCTCATTTTTGCAAGATAATCTCTAGTGCAGCAGAGTACTTGGTGCTACTCCTTGTGTGAACAGGTTGATATCTGAGACTCTGTGCTAATATTAATGTTGTCACATATTCACTAATTTTATTTGTTTTTTATTTATCCTTAATATGGGCGATTATTTTGAAGACACAATTCAGGCAGAATTGAGGGAAACACTAATCTGTTTTGAAGAGGAAGTAAATGTAGAAACCTTTTCATTTACCATGGGGTTAAACACTGATTAACACAATACAGACAAACACTTAGGGTGTGCCTGCAAAATGGCACCGCAGATTGAGACTCCTCTATGAAGACTTTATGGCCTGAATTCAATTCCTTTACCCCCTCAGGTGGCAGGAGAGAATAGGCTCTTGTGAGAACCAACTCCTGAGATTTGTCCTTCACACCCAGGCTGTGCCATACACACGTGACACCTACACCTACACACCTACACACCTACACCTACACACACACACACACACACACACACACACACACACACACATACACACACGGAATGCATTTAACCTATTGTTTTTCTAAGCTGTGGTACACAGCAGAATAATATATTATGCTACAGATACAGCTGTTATCCATGATCAAATGGATTCTGGAACCTTGACATCATGAAAGGCTATTAGGAAAAGATCAAAATTCAAAGCATTGCTTCTTTAATGGGCATAACTTTCACTCTATCATAGGAAAAAAAACATTAAGTTAAACCACAAGTTAGTGACAGTCTATAAAGCTGCCCTTTCTTTAGAAATGTTCAAATACTTTCCAGATATGTAACTTGCATGTTAAGCCAAAGATACCTTGGGTATTGTGTTATGACTGGTTTTACGTCATCTTGACATAGCTAGAGTCATTTTGGAAGAGTGAACCTCAATTGAGGAAATGCCCCCACCAGATTGCCTGTGTGCAACCCTGTGATACAGTTTCTTGATTGATGATTGATGTGTATGACACCACTGTGGTCCTTGTAGTGCCACCCCTGGGCTGGTGGTTCTGGGTGCTATAAGAAAGCAGTCAGAGCAAGCCAGGAAGAGCAAGCCAGTAGGAAGCATTGTTCCATGTCTTCCCCATCAGTTCCTGTCTCCAGATTCCTGCCCTGTTTGAGTTCCTGCCCTGACTTCTCAGTGATGGGCTGTGCTATGGAACTGTGAGCTGAAACTGACCCTTTCCTCCCCAAGCTGCTTTTGGTCACAATGTTTTTATCACAGAAATAGAAGCCCCAACTAAGTAAGACATTGATTTTTGTGTTTCTCATTTACTCAGGAACTATTCTGAATTATAATGGTTTCTTTGATCAAAAACTTGCATAGTGCTTAATCTTCCAGAAACTCTTAAATTTTGCTTGAGATTGTGTTCATTTGAGAAATTTGTGTAGTGAAGTGTTTAACTTTGTCTGGAGTCAAAAGGAACCTGGGACTAGTTTGGGGCATACACTATTTTTCTCTATGGTGCATGTTTACTGAACTCCAAAGTTAATTATATGCTAAAACAGGAACAGACACAGGCTTCAGACTCAGAATTATCTATAGTGGAAGTGAACCTTAACAAACATGTCTGGTCTAGTTTCCTGGCAATTTAGGTAGGGACTCATACCCTGGCAGAATGGACAGTTTTCTAGGAATGCCAGGCAGCCTTAAAGCTAACACTTCCGATTCACATGAACAGGGTGGGCGAGTTTGCCATTTTTAGAGAAGTGGTTTTCAATACTATTTTGTGTATTCCTTTGGTTGCTTTTTGTCTAACAATTCACTATATAACTGCTTTAATTGGATTTAAGTCACTGTAGTATTGGATTTAAGTTATTGTATCATTGTTCATATATATATATATATATGTATATGTATATACATATATATGTATACATGCGCAACATTATCTGGCTTGAGTTGGATATTTTCTGTTTTTCCATACTCAATATTATTCACATTTTGTTTGCTTTAAGATAATGAGAAACCCATGCGTGTGGTGGATGATGAGGATCTGGTAGACCAACATCTCATTGGTGAGCTAAGGAAAGAGTATGGAATGACCTACAATGACTTCTTCATGGTGCTGACAGATGTGGATCTGAGAGTGAAGGTACAGGTTTGGTTGTGAGTAATGTGGTGTAATTCCTTGGAATACAAATAAAAATGTGGTTAATGAGTGCAATGTGTGTATATATATATATATATATAACTCAGAACACACTATGTCGTTATAGTAAGGTTTTGAAATGGCCCTAGTATTTCAGTTGTCTTATGAATTTGCATTCAGAAATGATGTCTTCAGGAAAAGACTGGGTTGAGCTGAACTTAGCCCAGGTACATGACTCAGACTGAACCCTTCTTTCACACCACAGCTGTGGATTTATCAGACACTAGTTAAATGATGTGGTGAACCAATCCCTATAAATAAAAGAGAAGGAGGAATTTCTTCCTTCAAGAAACCTGCACTTACCATAAGTACCATTATGGAAAGTTCTGGTTGATGATTTAAATAAATAAATAAAAGACTGCAAGGATTTTCCATATACTTTCTTTCTAAAGGAACAACATTTTTAACCCATCAAAAACTGAGCTATATCATAATAATGACAAAATATCTAGCTTTCCTTGCACCAAGCACCTTGCTCAAACCTAAGTAACCCTTGTCTTATAGATATAAAATAAATACCAGTATCTTTCTCATTTCATAGAGAGGGAAAAATATAGTCCCAGAATGGGTAAGTGGCTTGTTCAAGTTGATCCAACTAGAATGAGATTTCATCCCCACAGAGGCTAGCTACAGATCCCATTGTCTTCATCATTCTAGGATGCTGACATTATAATAAGTTCTTTGGGGGAAGGGGTGTTGTCTGTACTATCAGAACAGAGGACTTGACCTGCAGTGTTTTTGTGGTTTGGGGGAGAAATTACTCCATTACTATGTTTTGCACAAGTGTTGCTTCATCTCCCACAGGAGAAGTTGGACTAGATGATATGTAAAATGAAACCCCATTGTGGCAAAATTGCAAACCACACTCAGATAGTCCCTCATATTTGTTTTGCTCAGCAAGGCCCATATCCACATCAGGTGACTTTTAAAAGTATGGGTAACTGGAATCCAAGGAAATGCATTCCATTGTCTTTAAGTTGGATCCCAACATGTTTCTGAGAACATGTGACCAAACATGGCTTAATGTTAAATGACTCAATAAAACAGGATTGGATGGGAAAGTCAAGTTAAAATCTCTAGCATGCATGTCATTTGCTTCTCTATATTAGTATACTGTTCCTCACTTCCCTGGTTGTGTCATAAACAAGAACCAGATTAGAGAAGATTCATGTGGAAACATATACAAGTGAATGTAGCGTTTGTATGGTAAGGAAGATATGACTTGATTTTAGTAAAAGAAGGCAAGAACAATTCTTTATAAATATGCCAATTGCTTTCCGGAGTCCTAATTTCAAGCAATTATGAGAGTACTCTTGCAAAAGAGCATTTAGAAACTATTAAACCTTCTAGACTCCAAATCAAGAGATTTCCCCATACCTTGCTGGAAGGTGCAAATTATAAATACCTTATGATTTCTCAAACAGCAATACTATGAGGTGCCAATAGCAATGAAGTCTGTGTTTGACCTGATCGATACTTTCCAATCCCGAGTCAAAGACATGGAGAAGCAGAAGAAGGAAGGCATTACCTGCAAGGAGGACAAGAAACAGTCCCTGGAGAATTTCCTATCCAGGTACATGATCTTTGTGTTCCCAGGAGAGGCTAGAGCAATTTTACCTGGAATGGACTCAGAACCAAAGAAACACGTTTTTCGTGTGCTTACGGGAGGAGAGTATTCATGTTTCCAGGTGCCCTGTCTGCTGGGCTTAGTCATGTATGTCTGGAACAGGGTCTGGTTGTAAGACTACAACTATACGAGTTGATGTAGTGATATTGGATGAGTCTCTTCGGTTTGTTTATTTAATACAGAGCATAGAATTCAGAACTCCCACAAGGATTGCTTCATGCAGTGAATATAAGAAGCTGTGATGATGACATTGTGCTTTACATGAGTCTACTTCCATTTCCAAATGGGATTTGATACATTGATTTTCTACCTCCTTACACCAAAACAGTAAATCCTCACACCAAGACCCTAACAGTAGGACTTCTCTTGACCCAGCTCCAGCATTCTCTGGGGAATATGGGTGCATTCCCCAGAGACGAGAGTAAAAAAAAGCAAAATGGCAGTTTCTTTTTTGCTTCATGCCTTTCACAGGGCCTTTGAGGCCCCAAGTGAGACAAAATTGAAAAATACACTCACAACAATGAAAATCAGAGACCTCAATATAATACCACCCCAATTGAACTTCATGGTTGAGGGTTTCCAGAAATGAAGCAAACATCAGTGTTAAATGTGTGTCACATGGGCTGAATCTTTACACACTGCCTCATATTAGTCGGGTTCTTAAGATTCAATGATTAATAAGTGAATAGCTTGAATTCTTGCAGACTCAGGAGACTCGGGGCTCTTAGGGCATAGCATTTCATCTAAGAAGGTCCAACTCATGATTCCTATGAGGATTCAGCCTGCAACACATCCATTGTGTTGACTCTGTGCATCTCAGCTAAGCTGCCTTAAAAACTTTCCCTATATAAAATGAAAATAATGGCAGCAGGGGCCTTCCTCCATCCGGAGTTGCTGTAACACTCATCTGTGTTGGTACCAAGAACTTCACTATTGCCCATACGTTCATGTGTTTGAATATTTTCAAATCCGCCTCTACCCACACACAATTGTGTTCACTTAGATTTCAACTTGGGCTATAATTCCTAATTATTCAGTTACACATTTGTAATTGCAAGTTTGTCATTAGTCCAGATTCTTTTAAAGTTTACAAGACCATGTATGTGTGTGTGTGTGTATGTATGTATGTATGTTTGAGGGCAAATTTGGGGGAGTTGGAGGGTAGAGAATATGATCAAAATATATGATATGAAATACTCAAAAAATTAATAAGATATTATCTTAAAATTTTTATTATCTTAAAATTTTAAGGAGAATAATGTACTAATCAAAGGCAGGAATAAGATGGTCCTGTGTTGGAATTCTGCCTTTTTTTTCCTTACTCATTGATCGTGAGATATTGAGCTGATATTTTTAACTGACTCAGGCTTCAGTTTTTGAATTTACAAAATGATAATAATAAATATTCTTGTTCTTAAAATCATTGTGAAAGGGCAACTGAATACTAAAGGTATGTTGGTTAGGCCCTATATCATACTTTGTTGGCAAAAGAAACTCAGTAGACTGTTCATTGAATCTCAGGCAAAGAGAAAAGAGAAAAAGAGAAATCCCTGAAACTGGAAAGGAAAGAAAGGAAAAGAGAAAGAGTTCTGTGACTAAGCCAGTCCCCAAATGGTAATTTTCCTTAAATTTGCTGACTTGTTGATGAGATGGCACAGCCTGGTTTCAGCTGACCAGACCCTGAAGCCGGTCTGGTCTTTAGCACTGTGTTTTATGCTATAATTACCCGTCCCTGAGACAGAAGCCTCACCAAGTGGGCAAATGCACACTAATTTGGTATGCCAGTTAAAAGGAAGCAAACATACACAGACCTTGTAGGGTTTCATTGACTGAGGAACTAAAGTGACAGAAGAACAATTTGCCCCAGATGGGGACCTAAGCAAAGTCACAAGTCTTGTCACAGATAGACCTTGAACATTATTTCCTTCAGTGCCTTGAGCTGGGGCCTTGAACCCCTGTGTGGAACGTTCAATCGTTTCTTATGGGAAGCACTGTGCTCTGAGTTGTGTCTGAGACAGGGTGTCTCATCCCTCTCCCATCAAAACCTCATTCAGTGGAACATACAGGTAAACAAGTTGAAACAGACCTCACTAAAATAACTCAACGGCTCCATGTAGGCCAGAGAGGCTGGCCTGGTTAGATCCTGGCTGGGGGCCAGCTCTGGCCTGGCACTCCTCCTAAGGAAGCAGGGAAATCCAGAGACCAACCATGTTTGTGACCCAGCAGCCTCCCATCATTCCCTTTCTCAGGAACCTCTGGACCATCTCATATGCTCCTTTCCCTTGATTTGTGCCAAAACACTCATCTCCTTATCCTCAGTGGAGACTTATTTTTCTTTTCCTTTGAAGAAAAACAAGCAGAGGAAGTGAATGTAATGTCATAGCAAGCAATTCTTGGCAAGTCTTGGGAGACAGACATCCATTCAGAGCTTGTATTTCATTAGACTATTATTTTCCCTCATTCACCAAAAACACTGTTCCCTCCAAGAAGCCATTTTCTTTGGGGCTGAAAACTCTCTGTTCAGTCTGAAGGCAAATAGGGCATAGGGAGAGAAACCATGTGCTCAGGGATTGTTAATACCCGCTGGCTCCCTGCATCTGAGGCAGAAATCAACGCCCCCTTTTCAGTTTGAGACAATTCCACCCGGCTTTGCCTTGGAAGCATACTGCACGTCTTTCACAACACAATAGAGACCCAGAGAGCATGGCTAAAGCATCAGCATCCTTAAGCCCATATTTTGGTACCACCTTAGATTTACTGGTTGTACAAACCACTTACTTCTTTATGTCTCTCTCATCATTCATCAACTGGGGAAAATAAAGCTTGCCTTCTTGAGCCTTAGTGAGGAACACTTACTGTGTAGTGACAGTGAGCTTTAAAGTGGCACCCTGACACAAGAGTCAAATAGGTTGCCATGTGGCATGGTGATAATGTCCAATGTGTGTTTAACCTTGGGAACTGCAAATGAGGACACGACTTCCCAGATCGATTCCATCATCTGGATAACATACTGATGGGTTTTGGAATTAAATTTTGTAACACCCTTTTGAAATAGACACTGGTATTTTCAATTCCTGGAATAAGGGAAAGTGAGACTGCATTCAACTGAGTGGCATGCTCTAAGACATCCAAAAAGTAGTGATGACAATCTTGAATTCAAGTTTCCACAATAAGAGAACATGACAGCAGTATTAACACTAGAGGCTGGGTTTGCCAAAATCCCGTGGCTTTCCACTTCATAGGTGCAGTTGCATTGAGTTTTATTTATGATAATTACATAAGGATCAGAGCTCACATTTGCCTCTAGAATTACAACTGGCTACTAAGGAAAGAACACAGGCTTAATTTCTTCTGAAACCCTCTAACTCTTTCAGTGGCTTTCCATTTTCCTTCTTGTTGCCATTATCATCCACTTAAAACTTAACAGTCTTTTTCTAGCCTTTTCTTGTTTGAATTCTCATCTCCCAATGCCTGCTGAACTCCAGAGGGAACTCTGTTGGGACTTCAGTTGTCTTCAGCTCCCTTCCTAGTCTTGGTTTTTCTGCGTCCCTTACAATTCTGAATAGTTCTTCATTATAACTGAGAGCTTCACTTTACCCTAAGTGACCTCACCAAGCACGGTGACCATGACTCAACACATCATGCAGGCATACTGAAATCACAACAGAAAAAAATGTCAATATGTGGCAATGCAGTCTAGCGGCTTTCAGGAACTGTGGGAAAGTTCTATGGGCGGGGGATTTTTATTCTGGGAATGGAAAAACCCAGCAGCCAATGTTGCTCTGCTTTCTTACACTGGCCTCTGTTTTCTGAAGCAGTGCATCTTTTCCAGGTTCCGATGGAGGAGGCGGTTGTTGGTGATCTCTGCCCCTAATGATGAAGACTGGGCCTATTCACAACAGCTCTCTGCCCTCAGTGGTCAAGCATGCAATTTTGGTGAGTAGGAGGCACCTCATTTCTGCTTTCCCATACCATTTTCTGGATGATTCTAAAATGAAACACAGAGCCTTAGCTCATCTAAATATACCCCAATCCAGGTGTAGATTCCTGACACACATTCTATTTATTCAATGGGAAGCTGTTTTCAAAGCACTGTTTTAATCAACTAGAGGGCTCCTCACCTTTTTCCTTTCACATTCTACACTGAAGCATTTGCAAGTATCTACTGCTTTACTTTTAATTATTTTTTTATTTCTTTTTAAACACCTCTCAAGATGATGAAATGCAAGCATCATCATTTATCTGATACCTGGGTACTGGCTACTAACATTGGATGCTTCTCCATAAATTGATCTTGTTCTGAGAATTAATGCAACAGAATTTTTTTTTGAGATAGAATATCATTGTGTAATTTCAGATCCTCCTGCCTTATCCTCCAGTGTGCTGGAGCTATGAGTGTGTGTCACTGTGACTGGTTGTGAACCTTATTAAGTCAAAAAGAAAAAAAATTCTTTGTTGCAAATACCTCAATATTTTGAAAAATAATATGGCACCCAACTTACTAAACAATAGGAAACTGAAAGCACAAGTGTCATTTTTAATGTGGCCACAGAAACATGCACAGCACATAAAACTTATTTCTAGGTTTAATATGGAATGGAATGATGGTGAAGTCAATAGTGTCAATGTCCCAGCTGACATCCATGAGTTGTGCAGCTGTGAAGAGAGCACCTTGAGTCATTAGAAGTACAGAGGGTTGGTTTCTGGTCACTGATTTAAAAATTCATTATTATAACATTACAAGACCATTTGATTCTTCCAAAGGGAAGAATCATGATGTCTATAATCATGGTGCAGCTATAAAACTGTACTTGATTTTTGAAGGAAGTGTCTTCATAAGTTTTGTGAAGATTTATCAAGACCCGGTTCTGTGGTATGACTCAGGGCCTCTAAATTATAAGATTGTAAGATGTGAAGTCACTCAAAAGAAGGCAGAAAGCAACCTCCAAATGGTAAGACAATTCAAGAACTTCTCACTTATCCTCTGTTGATCAAGGATAATAATTTACAACTATCAGCACAGAACATCTGATTGTGTCAATACTTTGAGTTGTATTTAAAACTCTTTGGAGTCATCGATGGTGCTAATCATGAAAGGTATTCTTAGAGGAACCATGGATTCATCACAGTACAAATGTAAATCAAAACACATCCCCCTTTGGTGTCACAAATCTATAATCTCAGCCCAGGGTTCTGTGAGTTCCAGGCCAGCCTGAGTTGTATTGTGCCACCCACGTCGAAAAACAATGATGACAAATAAAATCATGGCTTTTTTTATAGATGCTTTTCAACAACTAAGAGGTTTGTTTGTTCATTCGTTTGTTTTAATTCTGACACAGAAAGCCTGTGCCACATGAGTGTAAGCAAAGCTTTTTTGTTACCAGAAGGAAATGTGAACAAACCATGCTTTCCAGGAGTCATTAAATTCAGATTAAATTCATGACCTTCCCTTCTGAAACTATGACTCACTGGTGTTTGGAATAAAATGCTTCACCTTTCTGGGAAAAGATAAAGGTGGAAAACAAAACAAAACTGTGGGAAATAGTGGAAAACAAAACAAAACTGTGGGAAATAGCATTTTGCCATGATTTTAGTGGCCTTCTTACAGGAGCCCTCCCACATAGAAGAGGTTAATTTTCTCCCTGGGCAACAAACGCCACTGATCTTATCACTAGCCCCAAGCTTTTACCCCTGCGAGATTCTTTCTGAATCCCTTCACATGCTTTTCATCTTCAAAAGAATTCCAACAAGCTATCAAGGCATGACCTTCCCTCCCATGCTGAAACCTTAGCTGAAGATGGGAGGCAAGCTGTGCTTGCCTGGGCTTCCCCTGGGGACCCTCTGCTTGAGTAGAATCCTGCCAGTGAAGTGCAGCAGCATCTATCCTGTGACTGAGCCTTTAAAAATCACTCACGTGCTTTGTGTGCTTTTTCTCTGTGAGGGGAAATTATCCATAACAGGTGTGAAAACTTCAGCCTTAAGGTTTTTTTGGGTTTTTTGTTTTCCTTTGTTTTGTTTTGTTTTTCAGAATATCTATCATTGTGCCTAACTCATTTAGGTACTTTAGTATTTTGTTATCAGTAGTTTCATATTTTGGTATTTTATAGTAGGAGTCATTTTAAGAGCAAATTCTTCTGTTTCAGTCCACCCTCCTCACACACAAAAACCACCTGAGTCTTTCTAATCCTTTTCAGTTTTAAAAGTATTTCCTATCTTTTGGAAACATCAAAAACAGATTATTCTACTTGGCTTTTTATGTTCTGTATCCTATTCAAATTTTAATTGACTTGAAAAATCACCCGTTGTCAGGTTTTGGAAAGTGAAAGATGTTTTCCGATGATCTGATTGTGTGCCTGTCTTCTCTTGTGTCAGGTTTGAGGCACATAACCCTTCTGAAGCTTTTGGGAGTCGGAGAGGAAGTTGGAGGCGTCCTAGAACTGTTCCCAATTAATGGTAATGTTTTATTATTTTAAAACATTATGAATTAGTATTAAGTCTAATTAAATTATGTTAAGGTATATTCAAGCAGTACGTATACTTTAAAGAACAGTGTGTGTGCACGGACTTGCTTGTGTGTGGGGCTGAGGCTGGTCTAAGGACTCATCCTGGTTTTGACACAGTTTATTTAAACAGTTAAAAAGTATCTATTTTCAAAATCAAAATCATGCTTTTCATCTATAAGAAGCTTTAAGGTTTTCACTGTATTTCATGTTCTATCACTTAATCTCATGATTGTTTTTATGAGGTTGTATCAACTTAATTTCCTTTCAAGAGAGAAGGAAATGCAATAAAAGGCTCAAAGAAGCTGTATAAACTGACTACAGACTGGAGGTTGCAGAAAGCAGACCCACTCCTTCCTCCTATTGAAACAAAATGCTACTGTGTGAAATAGTTGAGCGCGCCAGAGCAGACCCCAGCCCCCTCCAGCCTCAGTTGCCCTCTCCTCTTCTTTCTTTACACGCATACTAATAGTTTAGATTCAGTCATTGGTTCTCAGTATGACTGGTATTTTTCACCCTGGACAACAAAACAAGCTTTCCATTGTCCCTTGAAAGGAAAACTGGAATGTAAAGAAGTAAGCTAATTGGAAACATGCCTAGAAATAAAAACATCATTGTTTGTCACTAACAGGTTGTAAAGACGTTGATGTTGGGGAATTAAATTAAGGCATGGGTTCTGCATTTGGCAATATTCTCAAAAGAGATGCCACGTGTATCGTAGTTTTAGACTAACACCCTTGCACAGCATAGTGTAGAACTTTAGTTGGATGTTTCCAGCAGAAAACTGTTCTTGAGCTAAAGAGAAAGGTTCATGGGTCTTTTGCTCTCATGCTGATTTCCTCTTGCTGTGTTATGTTTATGAACTCTTGACTCTTTAATCCACTAACAACCATTCCAATACTATTCCAGGGAGCTCCGCTGTTGAGCGAGAAGATGTACCAGCCCACTTGGTGAAAGACATTCGCAACTATTTCCAAGTGAGCCCAGAGTACTTCTCCATGCTTCTAGTTGGAAAAGATGGGAATGTTAAATCTTGGTATCCTTCTCCTATGTGGTCGATGGTCATCGTGTATGACTTAATTGATTCCATGCAACTTCGGAGACAGGAAATGGCCATTCAGCAGTCACTGGGGATGCGCTGCCCAGAAGATGAGTATGCAGGATACGGTTACCATAATTACCACCAAGGCTATCAGGATGGCTACCAAGATGACTACCGTCATCATGAAAGTTACCACCATGGATACCCCTACTGAACAGAAATATGTAATCCTATTCCCATCCAGTTTCCTCTTCATCTGCTAGAGCTGTGTGTGGCCAGCTACATGAGGGAAGTCCTCTATACTCTACATTGCCTGTCCTTTTCTTTCTGTGTTCTAAGATTAAAGAAATAGTCAACTTTCCCTTACTCATGAGTTGTTATTGAGACATTTAAAAGAATTCTCTAACTTGAGAGAGGGAAACCTGGTGCTAAATAATTGTACTAAAAAATAGGTAGTATCTCTCTTTTCTTATAATAGATATTATTTTATGTGCAAATTTCTATAAAGCATTTATATATTTTTCATCATTTTATATCAATTTGCAACTGAAAACTTTGTTAAAGAGAATAAATAGCACAGTACATATGTTTTCAGAAGACATCTAGATAGAGACAGAAGACAACAGATGGCCCCCTTTTTTTGAGATGGGGGTCTCTCTGTATAGCTCTGACTGATCTAGAACTCACATGTAGATCAGGCTGGCCTCAAACTCACAAGGTCTACTTGCCTCTCTCTCCCAAATGTTGGGATTAAAGATATGAGTCACCAGTCTGGCTTCAAATGTCAGCCTAACAATATTTACAGTAGTTCTTTGCCATATGAAATTCTTTTATGTAACCTGGTAGCACCAGAGTAATGATATTGGCCATCAACTATAAACCAATGTTTGTTATAAAAAAACAATTTCTAAATTCCTGTCTAACTCAGTGACATTTAAGAACATTTCAGCTTTGGTGGTAAAATACTAAATGTAAAGGTTCTGTCTTGACTGATTTTTCTGAGCATGACTGAAGCCTTTCTTGGCTCTGTTGGCCTTAGCCTACGGGACAAAGGTACCATATGGCCATCAGAGTCACCCCCTAAATTTACGGAAAGGAGTAAAATGAAAACATGTTTATTTTGAAAAAGTGAGGAGGATTCCCAAGAGTGGGAGGAGTCCCCAGACAGAAAAGTGCTTTGGCTTCATGGGATACTGTTAATGGCAACTCTGAAAATTCACTTTGAGAAATAAATTTTGTTGTTTAAAAAAGGTTGAGCTGTGTGCAAGGGCTTTTTAAAGGTCTTGGGGCAGAAACTAGACAAAGCCTGATCATACTGTGGCTGAGCCAATGGGAGCTCACTTGCTGTGTTGATCTGGAAAATGATGGTGCACCATTTGTCCAGACAGGGGAGTATCGTGAGCTTCAACCACCTCTGTTCATTCTCCTTTAACCTTTGCTTAGTTTGCCAGCATTCTGCCTTGGCTGGGTCTACCAGCTGCTAGTCGAACAATTCTCTGTGTGTTCCCAGGTTTTGAGATCAACTTGTAGTTTACCATGAGCCCTTTAACTCCCTATGGGAGCTAACTCCTACCACAGCTACAAAATGAACTTAGTTTTGCTTGGTGCTTCATGCATAGCTCTTTTGACTTGCTTTTCACCATGGGCTGCCTTCAGAAGACAAAAGAGAACAAGGGTGGGCTCCGTTCAAGAAATGTTTGAGAAGACCAAGTCAGGAGTGACCGGAAGTCTTGGACTATACAAGTAACGATTTAACGTTGCCATTCTTAATCATAGTATCTTGAATGTTAGACCCCTCTTAGTACAAAAGAATTTTTGCTATTTTATATACTCTGCCAGAGTCCAGAACACAAAACTGGAAGACTTTTCTCCTTACACTGACATTGCTAATTGTGGCAGGACGTATAGCAATGGAAAGAGAGGAGAGGAAGCAGCAGCAAGTGAGGAACGAGGAGGAACTGTTTGGTGATTCCAGATGATTGCATTTTTTTTTCCTTCAGGTTTTAGCAGGTGTCTTCCATTGGCCCCATCATCACCATGGTCAATGGTCAGTGGATTTTGGATCCTCACAGTGTGGGTACTGCTTCCCTGGGGATGTCATATCTTGCTCAGCTTTAAGAAGTTGTTGGGTATCTGTGAAAGATGGCAGCACTAGCACTAGCTCATTTACAAACACTCCTCCTCTTCTACTGAACTAAACACAAAAGAATAGTGCGTTCATTGAAGAGTATGTCATCAAGGTTGCATCTGGGGAATAGTCTTAATCTTTCTTTTTGAGAAATATGTGCCTGTTCACTGTCCACAGCTTGGGGAAGTGAGGCAGCTGGGAATAATTAACTATTGCTTGAAATGAGTGAAATGATTTTTTTTTAACTCTTTGGCTCTTTAGGCATTTGGAGGAGCCCACCACCCAGCTCCCAAATGAACCACACACTGAGGCTTATACTTAGTTATGAATGTCTAGCCTTAGCTTGGCTTGTTTCTAGTCAGCTTTTCTTAACTTAACCCATGCACCTCTTCTCTCCCGGCATTTATCTTCCTTCCTTCCTTCCTTCCTTCCTTCCTTCCTTCCTTCCTTCCTTCCTTTCTTTCTTTCTCCATGTCTGGCTAGGTGGCTGGCCCCTGACATCCTCCTCTCGTTCTTCTCTGGCCATTCTTCTGTCCTCATTTCTCCTATTTATACTCTCTTTCTGCCAGCCCTGCCTATCCTTGCTCCTGCCTTGCTATTGGCTGTTCAGCTCTTTATTACACAATCTGGTGTTTTGGGCAGGTACAGTAACACAGCTTCACGGAGTTAAACAAATGAAACATAAACAAAACTCACATAGCTGAAAATAATATTCCCCAACAATTAACATACTTGTAGTTTATTGTCCATGGTATGAAGAGCCATGGACTGAGGCCAAAGACAAAAGACACCACTACATGGAGGATGGGGGATATGGAGGTTATACTTGAAGTTAGAGAATCGAAGCCATGGTCAATCATTGGAGCATCGAAGCCCTGTATCTCTGGAAATACCAGAATACTTAGTTTTTGACTCTTGGCCAGGATAAAGCCTGTAGAATTTATAATGTGTTGTTTCCAGTCTGAAACTACTAGGGTTAGGTACTTTCCAAGTGGCCTAAGATTAAGCCTAATCAACTAGATGGGCAAGAAGACACTGAAAATTCTACTTAGGGACTGGCAACATGACTGAGCAGGTTAGAGTGCTGCCTGTTGCCAAGCCCAATGACCCGAGTTTGATTCTCAGAACCTACACTGTAGGAGAGAACTAATTCCTCCAAGGTGTCCCTGACCTATCTACCTCACCACTCAGTATTTGTAATAAAAAAAATTAAAAACAAAAGAAAACATTGTACTTGAAATTTTTGCTTTGAGCTTTTTTAAAGTCAAGATACACAGATGTTGGTGGTTCAAACTGAAGATAGTGGGAGGAGTGTAGTCTGCATCCCACAAGGACCCTAGAAAGCCTACGGACATGATGCCCTTGAGTCCTCAATGACTGAATTCACCTTTTCTTGCTGCACTCTGTCCTTTGACTTTAAAGGAAAGTCGTATATGAGTATATTCTATGAAGTCTGGGGAGCACTTTCAAATGCATAAACTTGGAGGACTTGGAATATGGCTCATTGGCTATGCATTTGCCCAGGATGCCTAGGGGTTGTTTTAACCCCTATTACTATAAACAAACAAAAGCAATATATAAATTGGAAAGTCTTTGCAGGATAGAATATTCTTACATATAAGACATACAAAATATTAAGCCTAAATTCTAAAAATACTTTGTGTATAATATTAAAAGTGCACACATAATAACTATTAAAAGCTATAAAATGTAAGTCTAAAAGGAATGAAAATTCTAGTAGTCATCTTTATAGCTGTCGATAGAAATGAGCTGTATAGAGGCATTTCATTTCACCTGACAGACTTTTTATTGAAGCAGGGGCTTACTCCGAGCCAGGTAAGCAAAGTAAAACCCAACTGCCACCTCACATACAGTAGAAGGTATTGCTCCCATCTTTGTGGTTCTGGCTCTTAAAGCCAGATTTCAGTCAATACAGAGGAAAAATACACAGCCACTGTCCCGTCCATGTAAAATTCTATAGCTTTTACAGACCTTTCCTAGAGAGTTTCTCTTCCTCCTTGAGGCAGCTCCAAGACCATCAGTCAGTATTCAAGCTAAGAGGGACAAAGTGAGGGATAGTCTTCCTCCTGCATGACTTTATGGGAAATAACAGGCTTGATTGGAATGTGAAGCTCTGTTTGCATATGAGTGCACAGAACACATAAGGGAACTGTTAAAAAGACATGTAAGCAGTAGGGTAAAATAGCACACCTTCAGGGAAAAGGTAGGTTTATTTATATACACACAAACCCATATGTTTGTATATTTTCATTGTAGAGGAAAGCTTTTACCTTTCTTCTTATTCCTTATTTTTATTTTTTAATGATCACAGACAATATTGGACTTCATTATATATTTTTAAAGGAAATTGCTAATTTTCCTCTTGCTCTTTTTCCAACCCCCATGACCTCTCCTTTCACTGTTCCACCCATCCATCCCATCACTTCCTTCCTTTCCTCTCTTATTTCATGTATACTATATTGCCTTACCACGTCTCCTCCACATTTCATTTCCCCTCCTTTCTAGTTTCATATACTACACTCATAATCACTTCCTCATACATGCAGCTTCACAGAATACCTTCTAGTTTGCTTCATTTTCCTGCAGGCCTCATTGAATTTTTCTTTATAGCTGAATGAAACCCCATTGTGTGTCATTTGCTTGCCACTGTGAACAATGCAGCAATAAGCATGGGTGTTTAGGTATCTCTGTAACCAAGTGAGAGTCCTTCAGTATGACACAAATTGATCCTATGGTAGTTTATTTTAAAAAATTGAAAAGCTTTAGTGTTTGTTTTCATAGTGGTTATGTAGGGCTATGTAGGAGGCACAGCTGTCTTGGTACTCACAGAAAAGCACTATGGGAGCCTGGAATGTTAAACACACATGGTTGTTCCTTTGAAGAAAGGAATGTGTAATCAGTGGTTCTCGACCTGTGGGTCATGACCCTTTGGTGGGCTCACATATTAGATTCTTATGTTAAGATTCATCTATGGAGCAGAAGAGGGATGAGATGAGGGTTGGTGGGGGGCATGGGAGACTGGGAGGGAGATATATAAAAAAAGATTATTTCTAATTTAAATAAAAAGATTTGTAACAGTAGAAAAATTGTAATTATGAAGTAGCAATGAAATAATTTTATGGTTGGGAATCACTACAACATGAGGAACTATATACAAGGGTCGTGGAATTAGGAAGGTTGAGAACCCCTGGTATAATATCTCTATCCACCCACAAAG